ATATGTTGGTTTTAGCAACCATTTTGCTTTTAACATAGAGCCTATAAATTGCTGTCATTTCATTTGCCTTGCCCATTATTAGCCCTTCTTCTGATCTTGTTTTCAAAATCATCTCTCATATATGCAACTAAGAATAACTTAATATCATATACTTTCAAAAGTACGTTTTGTTTTAAGGTCTTTCATTTTACAGTTAAAAAAGTCAAGTTATGTCCGATCTTGTCTCAAGTAGTAATTTCTTTCGCTTTTCAAATTTAATCCAAACAAACTTTCACGTTAATTGTCACGGGTAAATTTTCACCTAAAAAATTCATGTGGATGTGTAAAAAGTAATACAACAACCTTGATATATACTTATAAAAAACTATTAAAATATATATAGCATGAAATGTCTTTTATTGGTCCCTTGAAAAAGAAAAAAAGGTTTTTGAAACAAGTGAGAAAGGAACCTCGTTGGTATTTGCACACCACCAATGCCTCTTGATTTGGTGACAAAAAGGAACAAAACCAGAAGAGGAGGGAAAGTGGGTTTTTATATACAATAATAATATTATCAAAGGGGACTGTGGCATTATCATTGGAGATTGTAAAATTTTGCTAAGAAATTCCAAACACAAGGATGTGATTTTGTAAAGGTAGATTTGTTTCAGAGAAATTTTCACATACCCATTTCCCAAAGTGCCTTTTCTTTAATCCTTTATTGGTGAAGGCATTGAAATGAGAGCTAGGCTTGCCTTCATTTGTGGATCATCAAATTATGCTTGCCCAAACTAGACCCAATCATCAACAATTCCATTGCTTTTTTCTTTTATGGGGTTCCCCAATTCCTCACTGGAACCCATCCATCATCCCTCTAACTTAATTAATTTTCAATTCTTTTAGCCCATCAAAATAACCACACCACAACTTTGCATTGGTAATGCCAGATTTTGTAATCATTCTTACTTAAAACACTAGTAAAGTTTTAGTTAGTGTGTATGAGATATTAATAGGGTTAATAATCCATGATTAGATTAAATTACAAGTACGGTTCTCCGAGGGTTGTGTCAAATAATAAGATGTCTTGGATTTATTTGATACAAGTTGAAGGACAAAAGTTATAATTTAAACATAAATAACTAAGATTTAGATCGAAAAGAATTATGAACAAGTAAAAAACGAGATGATGATACAACAAAAAATGTGTAGAAATTGGTGAAAAAAAATATACATTACATACACATGAGAGGGAAAGAGAGAAGGGGAAAACACAAGGAATCTGCCTTTACCCTAAGTTGTTAGTCTCTCTAAAATCCTAATTCAAAGCACAAGGTTAC